CACACACACACACACACACACACACACACACACACACACACACACACACACACACACACACACACACACACACACACACACAGTCCCCCATTTATTTCTGAGCACCCTTCCCTTTCCTAGCCCTGATGAAGGGTCTGGACCCAAAATGTCGACTTTCCTGCTGCACTGCTGTCTGACCTGCTGTGTTCCTGTAGCTTCACATTGTATTGACTCTGACTTCCAGCATCTGCAGTTCTTGTTATCTCCTAGATAATATTACGTATGCATTTTTTTCTTTTTAGAGGTTACGCACAGAAAATAGATTGCTGAAACAACGTATTGAAACTTTGGAGAAGGTGAGTGCTATTAGATTGAGTTAGAAAAGATCTAAACTAAAACTTTTTAATTCAAAAAACAGTTACATTGTTCATTTAGTAAAACTTCAATGGATTTCAACAGTTGATGTTCCACTTAGCTGATTAAAGATGATTTGGAACTAACAAAATAGCGCGGTTTATTGATTAACAGTGCTTGGCTCTTTTAATTATTAACATTAATACTAAGCAAAGAGAAATGTGTTATACATTTAGTAATTACATGGAAATAACCTTTTGGAGTATATGAGAGTGGTGAGGGGTTTGAGACAGTACTGGCAGTGTGATATCGTAGGTATATTTGCGTTCTTAAAAGAAGAAAAGATGATTTTCTGGTCATTTCCGTACGCTGGCTGAGATGTCATTGCAGACTCAATATTTGAGATTGGAGGCTCAAATCAGAAGGTATGAGACTAGGAGGAGCCTTTGGTTTTTCTTACTGATTTCTTGTTGGGGGGAAAAGGAACAAAAAAATCACAGTGTAGTATTAGAATAGTAAGCGGTCAGATTAAAAGTTTTTCATTTTTATTCTTCCTTCATCTAAGATAATGACCGTTGACTGACTTAATGCTGCTATCCAATACACTGTTTAAAAGATGCATAAGAAAAACTATAGTGATGTACCAACTTAGGTACAACCTGTTGCTGCTTCCATTGCTCTGCTGAACACTGTACTGTGAATCATGGTTGTAGATACTCTTCTTAATACTCTACACGTACTGATGCTGCCTTCAGGGCTAAACTCCAGTTGCAATCTTGGAAAACAATATTAGAAGACCTCAAGTGTTTGGAAGTGAATCTGTGTCTTATAGTGCACAAAAAATTGTGGACACGCATTCACTTCCGAGCACTTGAGGTCTTCTAATATTGCTTTCCAAGATTGCTATTCCGATGCCATGTTTTAATGCAATCTTTAAATCCTCCATACAGTTCGACATTCCATTGTAAGAAGACAGCATTTTCCAAGATTTTGCCAGTGCCTAGTTTTGACTGTTCCCACAACATTTCCCCTTGCGGGTGGCTGCCAGTGTTGGGACCTCAGCCTCTGTTAAAATTGCAAATGGAAACATCAGTTTATGCTGCACTTTTTAGTGTCTTTTGACCCTTAGCAATTATTCTGTTAGTCATTCAGTCATGTTTTTGTAAGGGAAAGAATCACCCATTAATGACGCAACAATAGTAAAACAACACAAAGCATTTTTTAATCCCGTAGACATCCAGAATGGTTCTAAAGATTCACTGATGTCCTTAAGAGAAGGAAATCCGCCATCCTCACCTGATCTGACCTACATGTGACTCCAGGCCTACAGCAATGTCGGGGCAGCACAATGGCACAGTGGTTAGCACTGCTGCCTCATGGCACCAGGGACCTGGGTTCGATTCCACCCTCGGGGCGACTGTCTGTGTGAAGTTTGCATGTTCTCCCCGTGCTTGCGTGGGTTTCCTCTGGGTGCTCCGGTTTCCTCTTGCAGTCCAAAGATGTGCAGGCTAGGTGGATTGGCCATGCTAAATTGCCTGTAGTGTTCAGGGATGCGTAGATTAGGTGGGTTATAGAGGGATGGGTCTGGGTGGGATGCTGAGGATCGGTGTGGATTTGTTGGGCCAAAGGGCCTGTTTCCACACCATAGGGATTCTATGATGATGACTCTCAATTTCCCTTTTGAAATGATCTAGCTAGCCATTCAGTTATAACAATTGCTACAAAGTCTCAAAAGAATGAAACCAGACAGACCACCTGGCATCATCCGAGGCACCGGAAAAGACAACGGCAGAAACAGCCCTGTTGACCGTATAAAGTTGTCCTTACTAACATTTGCGGGCTGGTGCCAAAATTAGGAGAGCTGTCTCACAGACTGGTCAAATAACAGCCTGACATAGTCATATGTATGGCATCATTCCTTACAGGCAATGTCTTAGGCACCCCTATCACCATCCTTGATATGCGCTGTCCCACTGGCAGGATAGACCCAGCAGAGGCAGCAGCACAGTGGTATATAGTTGGGAGGGAGTTGTCCTGGAGTCCTCAATGTTAACTCTGGACCCCATGAAGTCTTGTGGCTACAGGTTAAACACGGACAAGGAAACTTTATGCTGTTTACTACATACCGTTTTCCTTTGACTCATTAATTGGTCTTTCTCCATGTTGAAAACACTTAGAGGAAGCACTTTGGATGGCAAGGGCACAAAATTTACTCTTGGTGGGGGATTTCAGTGTCCACCAAAGAGAGTGGCTTGGTAGCAGTACTACTGATCGAGCTGGTTGCCTCCTTAAGGACGTAGCTGCTAGAACAAGATCAAAGTTGCTGGAAAAGCTCGGCGGGTCTGCCAGCAGCTGTGAATGAAGAAACAGAGTTAACGTTTCGGGTCCGGTGACACTTCCTCAGAACTGGGTCACCGGACCTGAAACGTTAACTATGTTTTTTTCTTTCACAGATGCTGCCAGACCTGCTGAGCTTTTCCAGCAACTTTGATTTTGTTCCTGTTTTACCGCATCTGCAGTTCTTTTGGTTTTTATTTGACATAGCTGCTAGACTGGGTCCGCAGCAGGTGGTGGGGGAGCCAACAAGAGGGAAACACACACTTGACCTTATCCTTACCAATCTCCCAACTGCAGGTGCATCTGTCCATGACAGTATTGGTAAGACTGACCATCGCATGATTCTTTTGGTGACAAAGTCCCACCTTCAAGTTGAGAATACCCTCCACCATGCTGTGTGGTACTGTCACCATGATAAATGGGATCAACTTTGAACAGAAGTCTAGACTAAGCATCCATGAGCCGCTGTGGGCCATTAACAGTAGTAGAATTGTACTACAGCACAATCTGTAACCAATTGGACTAGATTAATTTAGGATATCTGGTTGGTATAGACGAGTTGGACCAAAGGGTTACGACTCGTGGCCTGATAAATCTCCCACGCAGCAATTACTAGCAAGCCAGAGGATCAACTCTGGTTCAATTGAGATTGTAAGAGGGCAGGTTAGGAGTAGCGCCAGGCATACGTTAAAGTGAGGTGTCAACCTGGTGAAGCTCCCAAACAGGACGACATGCATGCCAAACGGCATAGTGATCCCACAACCAATGGATCAGATCTAAGCGTTCTATCAGTATATGACTCCATGATTCTGCACTCCTGCCACATCCACTTGTGGTGGACAATTAAACAACTCACTGGAGGAGGAGGCTGCACAAATATCCCCATCCTCAATGATGGAAGAGCCCAGCACATCAGTGCATAAGCTAAGGCTGAGGCGCTTGCAGCAATCTTCAACCAGAAGTACTGAGTGGATGATTCATCTTGGCCTCCTTCAGTGGTCCCTGGCATTACAGATACACTCTACAGCCAATTCGATTCACTCCACTTGATATGAATAAATGGTTGGAGATGTTGGATACTGCAAAGGAAAGGTCACCGTTCTGACAATAGGACTGAAGATTTGTGTTACATAACAAATGCTCCCCCTAGCCAAGTTCTTCCAGTACAGCTACAACATGGGCATCTAGCCAGGTATGTCCTGTACATAAAAAGCAGGACAAATCCAACCCAACCAATTACCTCCACATCAGTCTACTCTTGATCATCAGTAAAGTGATGGAAAGTGTCGTCAACACTGCTATGAAGCAGCACCTGCTCACAGCAACCTGTCAGTGATGCTCATTTTGCATTCTGCCAGGGCCATTCAGCTCCTGACCTCGTTATAGCCTTGGTTCAAACATAGACAAAAGAGCTGAATTCCAGAGGCCAGATGACAGTGACAGTGACAGTGACAGTCCTCAATGTCAATGCTGCAATTGACCAGGTGTGGCATGAAGGAGTCCAAGCAAAACTCGAATCAATATGTACCATGGGGCAAACTCTCGACTGGTTGAGTCATACTTGGCACATTGGAATTTTCTCGTGGTTGTTGAAGGTCAATCATCTCAGTTGCAGGAAATCTCCGCACGAGTTCCTCGGGGCAGTGTCTTAGGCTCAACCATCTTTAGCTGCTTCATCAATGACCTTCCCTCCATTATAAAGTCAGAGTGGTGATGATTGGACAAGGTTCAGCACTATTTGTGACTGCTCAGATCCTGAAGCAGTCCATGTTTAAATGCAACAAGATCTGGACAGTATCCCGGCTTGGGCTGGCAAAAGGCAAGTAACATTCACGGCACACAAATGCCAGGCTATGACCGTCACCAGTAAGAGACAATCAAACCATGGCCCCTTGACATTCAATGGTGTTCTCATCACTGTGTCCCTAGCTATCAACATCTTTAGGGTTACCATTGACCAGAAAATCAACTGGACTCACCACATAAACACAGTGGCTAGAATACTGCGGCAGGTAATTCACTTCCTGACTCTCCAAAGCTTGTCCATCATCTACAGGGCACAAATCAGGAGTGTGGTGGAATACACCCAACTTCCTGGATGGGAGCAGCTCCAACAAAGCTCAAGAAGCTTAACATCATCCAGGACAAAGCAGTCTGCTTGATTGGTACAACATCCAAAAGCATCACCTCCCTGCACCATTGACCTTAATGTCAATAGTGACCATAGCAGCAGTGTGTACAATCTACAAGATGCCCTGCAAAAATTCAAAGAATTGGTGACAGCACCTTCCACACCTCCGACTATTTCCATCTAGAAGGACAAGGGCAGCAGATACATGAGAACACCGCTCACTATCGTGATTTGGAAATATATCGCCGTCCCTTCACTGTCACTGGGTCAAAATCGTGGAAATCCCTCCCTAATGGCTTTGTGGGTCAACCCGCTGTAGGTGGACTGCAGCGGTTCAAGAAGGTGGCTCACTACCAGCACCTTCTGAAGTTTAGCTAGGGACGGGCAATAAATGCTGGCTAGTCAGTGACGCCCACGTTCTACGGATGAATTTAAGAAATACATCCTATAAATAGAAATAACAGCTATTTCAAATTATGGAGTTTGAAATTAGGGTTAGTTCCAACATGATACAAGCAATTGCCTAATGTCCTGTTTGTTGTATCTATGGTCATTGGCTAAGCTTTCAGTCCCAATCAAATGGATTTATATTGTGCATTTACCAGATAAACCTTTAAATATTTTTTCTTTAACGATAGCTTCCTTATGTATTGCTTAGGCAAGTTTATTTAATGAGGTTTCGTTATGTGTGTACTTGTTAAGTCCATTGTTTTTCTGACTGGAATAAAAATTATTTGTTAATTATTAAAAATTGCGTAAAATTATGTAAGACCACTAGCATCTGCAGTATTTTGCAATTATTTGATTTACTGGGCTGTCACAACAATTGTTTGTCAAAAATAAATATTTTAACTGACAATTATATTCTCAGTCATTTGTACTTATGGTTTTAACACCTTTGTAGTTGCCTTGGTTTTGCACTTTTCAGTGTTTCAACAAATTCAAATATTAAATGATTGAAAGTTCTTATTGACTTAAATTTCCAATTGAGTTTGCATTTTATTTTTTGTAAGTCTGGCCACTTATAATGTAAAGAAAATACTGCTGAAACAAATAATGTTTTTAAAAAAACTTGGATGAAATAATTGAGCATGCTTTCAATATCTGTCAGTAAAATTTGTTTAACTTGAGCTGTTAAACTAGTTAGGGGTTGCTTAGTTACCTATTCTTCATAGGTAAAGAGTTACTACCTCCAATTAATTTACCTATTGTCTTCATTTTTGTTTTCTCTTCTTGGGTTTGGATAGAACATGTAAAACTAAGTTCATTCAAAATCGATGCAAGTCATGTTCTGCAAACCTGATTTATCTGGCTTTACTAGCTAATGCATCTTGCAATTTTGTGCTCGCTGTTTTGTTTAATTTTCTCATCCTATCCAAATAATTGCACAAAAAGTGTTCATTTTTGCTTTGCTTTAGAAATCTATTATGTGAGCTGTGCTGCTAAACTATGGTAATTGATTTAAAGTATTAAGATGATTTGCTGAATACAATTGTTAATAAATAAATAGTCTATTTACAGCGCAGAAGATGAAGTATCAAAATTTACTGTTGTAGCAATTTTGATTAGTTTGCATTTTACAGTACAATTTAAGTGGAGGTTGTTATGAAACAAGTAGAAGTTTACATTTTCGAAGTTGCAGCATGATGGGTATGACCTGCTGAATGCTGCTTTGCTTTGGTTAGTTTTATAAGCTGCAATGGAAAATGGAACACTATAAAATTGTGAGTACTAATGTGTAGTAGTTCAAAGCGTAAGTTCTGTTTGGAAGATAAATGTAACTTTTTTATTTTTATGACAAAGTATAGTTGATAATCTCAGCAGCTGGTTCTGATACTTTTTTGAATTCTAAAGCTGGCATAATATTTTCTAACAATAGCATTGCTTCTCATTAAGTATTAATGTAATGGTACATAATGTGACAGACACGGCTGATCAAACAACTACTTTTTAAAGTTTCTATCGAACATATTGTGAACTTTTGTTCACTCTCCATCTCCTTTCAGTGCACAATATGTTAGTTTAAGTAGCAAAAAGAAAACGATTTGTGTTATTTCGGTGTCATAGCAAAAATTATTTGGATCATTACAAGGAAAAGTGATTTAAACAGGGCTCGAAGCAAAGTTTTAGACATTTTCTCTTCTATTTTACAGTTTATTTTATCACTGCTTCTTTTATATTCATTGTTTTCTTATACTTTCTCTTATCTGTCTGGATTTTTTCCCTTGTAGGAAAGTGCTTCTTTGGCAGATAGATTGATCCAGGTACAGTTTCTCATCCTATCCATGTCTTGTAATATGGATAAATACTGCATCCCTTGAAAAAGACGGTTGTCTTTATTTCTGTTTACAATTTCTTCCTGTATTGCACAAAATTGAAAGTGATGACTTGTGTGTTTCTGGAAAATGGTTACTTTTTAAAAACATGGTCATAATTGAATTGTACAATTTTTTGTATTTCAGTAATACTCAAGGTCATTAATAATGAAAAATAAAAAAGTGTCACTTTAATGGAATAAATGCCCAGTCGAAATTAAGACCATTGTATATCGAAATAATAACATATAATTAATAATCCTATTCAGCAAGTCAACTTTTTTACAGATGACCATTCCAGATGCACATTTTAAAAGTTAAATATTTATCGATGAAGGAGTGTTTGTAATTTTAATGCATGTGCAACTCCTCACTAACTCTAAGTTTTCTAATTCAATCAAGGCCATTAATTCTTACTACATGTATATTTAGCAGAATTGCATGTAGACAATTTGGTAAGTGCTTTACATTGCTAAACAATAAACTTCTGGGCAAAATTCTTCAAATAATAAAATCTAATGTTTGTCCTTTGGGATGCATTACTAATCTACCGATTGTAAATTGGAAAATTTTTCACTACTCCCCCGCACCGATCTTTATTCCCTGCACAATTGTGTCCTAAGGGACAAGTGACAAGGGCACAAGAGGCAGAGGAAAACTACCTCATTAAACGGGAGCTGGCCACCTTTAAACAGCAGAGTGATGAGGCTAGTGCTAAGCTGGAGAAAGCTCAGGATGCCATCAGGGACCTCCAAGAGCAACGGGTAAGGAGGCTAGCAGCATAATCTATTTCCTGCACTTCATTTGTTTTGTTTTCATCTGATTGCTTATGCCATTTTGATTCATTTTCAACTCTTGTTTTTTTAAAACTTGGTAAAGGAACATAATGGCTTACATTACACTTTTTCCTTTTTTTTTCTTAGATGTTTGTTACCAATTCTGTACTTGTAATAGTCTAGTTCTTCCAAATTTTCTCTCTTTTGTACTTTAGCAAAAAAGTATAATTTATATTCCAGCAGTCTGCTATAGACCTGGATCATAATGACAAATGTTTAAAAGTTGTACTTAAAAGTTACTGAGTTCTCTCAAATTTTGGGCAACTAAAAACATCGTTGTTAAATTCCTAAGTAGACAGCCGAAGACGACAGAATATTGGAAGCTGAAACTTGTAGCAGTCATAATTGAAGCTGTTTGAATGTAGGAATTGCATTGCTGGCCAGGATTTATATGTATCCTACCTTGGCTTTAAATTTATTCAGTTTTATTACAGTATAACAGCATACATCATGTATTTGAAAGCAAGGGTTTTGGTGAAGAAACTGAATAAATCAGTACCAACATTAAGTCCAATGAACTTGAGCAAAGGAGCAAACACAAAATTAGTATATGACTTCTGTTGCTTCCTTGTCTTTGTTAATCCTGAATTTCTTGCATGAATTTCATGAACAAGTATTGCCAGTTAAAGTGGTGGGCATGAGTTGAACCATTATTTGGAAGTAGGAAATTTGAATATTGTTATTAAAAAAAACATGTGACAAAGCTTTTAGACTTGCACTCATTAGGACAAGAATGCTAAATATCGACTGGGTTTCCGCATATGTATGTATATCACATCTGACGACTGAGTGAGCACATTCCTTCATTTGCTTAAAATACATAAGCTCAAACACAGAATGTCTGCTGTTAGTCATGATTTCAATTACAATTGAGCAGTACTTGAAATCCTGATAATAGCTGCCTGAACCTCCAGTTTAAGGTCATTAGACAAGCTTGTAATGTGGCTTATTTGCACTTGCTAGAAGTGATGTGCAAGACTTGTCCTCTTTAAACAAAAGCAATGTGTTCAAGCCTTGCATTTTTTGAACTACTTGGAAGCTGATAGTTCTCCATTATTTTCTCCAGCCAATGAGTGTCCACTTGCCAACGCTGAGTACCCCTTTCTCCTGTAGTAAAAATTGTGATGATTTGAAGTTTGGTATTCCTGTATTTATCTTGAGTGCAAGATGAAAAGTTTTGGCAAACTGTCTCTCTTTTCAATATTAGGATAAGAATTTTAAATTTGAGACCTTGATTTGTAAGGAGGCAGTATAAGTCAGTGAACAGAGGCAAAATGTATGATTAAAATTGAGTTAGAATTTTGAAGAATTGAGTTTATGAAGGGAGAAGAATGGGAATTTGACTAGGATAAGAGCATTGAGTTTGGGTCTGTTTCACAATAGATGGAAAGGGAAATGGAATCCTTAGAAAGGGAATTAATTTTGTGGTTGGGGCATGTTGGCTGAAATAGCAGTGGGGACTACTGTACATGACAAGTTAAACACCAATGCTGTGATGACAGTTGTTGATATTTTAATGTGAAGTGTGCTTGAAGTGAAATTTGAAGTCAAAAAAGACTAGATGACTGTTTGCACAGCAAGCCATCTCTATTGTTAAAATTTAGTGTCAGTTAAGGTATAGTGGAAGCCTATAGACAACACATTTTGAAAAGGTCACTGATCCATCATGAATGACTATAGATATTTTGGTTTTTGCATTCTCCTTCCAAGATTATTTTCACTTTGCATCCTACACATTATTTTTTGAAGGTGATTTGAGCAGTGTGGGTTATTTTATTACCACACTGATTTGGTAATTTTGTTTGTCTTCATGGTGAGTGCTGAAACTCTAACCAACTGAGAAACATCACAGAAAAGCTTAATTATATCCTCACTTGACACCCGTATGTACATTTCTAATGAACAGACTACTGCATTTCATCAGTTATTTCACAGCAAATATTATATTAATCAATTACAGTCAGAGTGGACAGATTGGACAGCCAGAGACTTTTTCCTAGGGTTGAGGTAGCTATTACGAGGGGGCATAGTTTTAAAGTGAGTGGAGGTAGATATAGGGGAGATGTCAGAGGTAGGTTCTTTACTCAGAGTGGTCGGGGCGTGGAATGCATTGCCGGAGAGGGCAGTGGAGTCGGCCTCATTAGGGGCATTTAAGCTGCTATTAGATAGGCATATGGGTGATAGTATAAGGTAGGGGTGGAGGTTAGATAGACCTTAGGTTTAGGGTAAACATTTGGCACAACATTGTGGGTCGAAGGGCCTTTACTGTGCTATACTGTTCTATGTTCTATGCACAGTCAACATACTGCACCAGGTTTACTCTGAACATAACATTGTGACATGGATTGGCTGGATAACTTGAGGATCATGTCATAGAATATTGAAACACAAACAAGTCATTCAACCCTGTGTTTTTCTCTGTGGTGTCGAGTCATCCACTTGTTCTCACATTGTCTTGCCATGTTCATATTGCAATACAACTTGGAGTGAAGGTTGCCAATTTGAATTCATGTGCATCAGAGTGGAACTTCTTTACAATAACATAATTTTCTTGCATGAAGAATTGGATCCCTGGGAAGTGGATCTCAAACATTTATATACGATAGCTATTTGTAGTCTAATGCAAGGTGCATCTGGTTGTGTAACTTCAGTCTATCAGCTGTGTAGTGCATTGTACGAATAGCCAATCTGAGATTGCTGTAATAATAAAGAGAGCTTTGTAATGAGGGGTTTCCAGTGTATGATTTGCTAGTTACACTAAGCTTTTTGTTTCTTTTATATAATATGTTTGCTTGCCATTTGCTGTGAATTCTGTGACAATATTTTGCATGAAAAGCATTATGCTTGTCCCTCTATAAATTTTAGGCCTTGTAATTACCTGTTTCTGTAATATAACTTTAATGTATTTCTGTCTATTGGCATTGTATTAATTTGACTGAAACTAAATATCTAGATAGTAGGAAGTGAATAAAAGGTTGTCATTTAATAACTGGGTTAAGAGATATCCATGACCTAGCTGGCTTTGTTCTGTGTGGTTTGACTGCAGCTGGACCTGTTGATTAAATTATACTGACAAAAAGAATTAGGCAGTGATTCATCTCCAAACTTGTATCCAAACTGTATTTCAAAAGCGATGGGCTATAACGCAGTTTTGTTTGACATTATACAGTATATTTGATATATTATCTTTGTGTTAACTGTATTAAAAATTGTGGAATTAACAGCATGGAAAAGTTACTATAAGCATTAAATACAAAAGCTATTTGCTGTCTTAGGGAAAGACAAATTTTTCCAGCAGTGAACTGGTTAGAGAAGTGGAGTAAGACTGAGGAGATGTCCAGTCTTTCTTGAATGTAGTCTGCATAGGAACAAAAGGAATGGGAGCAGGAGTCTATCAAATAGGTCCTTGAGCATGCTGTACCACTGAGTACAATCATGGCTGATCTACCTCAACTCTGTTTTACTGCCCTCTTCCTATACCCTGAGATTCTCTGAGAGTACCAAAAATCTATCTATCTATCTACATTCCCAACCTTGAATGTACTCAATGATGGAGCACTTGCAACCCTCAGTAATTCACAACCAGTGATTCACAGCCTTTTGAGTGAAGAAATTTGTCCTTATCTCTGTATAAATGAATAACCTATCATCCTGAGACTCTGCCCCCATGAACGTGGCCAGTGGAAACATTCTTTGTATCTACCCATTCAAGGGTCTTTAGAGTCTGAATGTTTGAGTGAGATCACCTTTCTTCTAAGCGCCAGAGAAAATAGGACCAAAAGATATAGTTGGCGAAATAGGCCATTCAGCTCGAGTCTACTCTGCGATTCAACTGAACTGATCATCCTCAACTCCACGTTGCAGCCTTTTTCTCATAACCCTTGATTCCCTTACTGATTAAAAATCCATCTCAGCCTTGAATATATAAGCCAGTAGAAAGCTGTCTGTAGTAATGAATTCCACAGATTCACTACTCAGAAGAAATTGCTCCTCATCTCTGATTGTGTCCTCTGGTCCCAGAATCCCCCACAAGGGAATAGCCTCTGCACATCTACCCTCTCAAGTCCATAACAGAAATTGCTGGAGAAACTAAGGACCTTGTATTTTTCAATAAAATCGCCTCCTTGTTCTTCTAAACTCCAATGTATACAGACCCAACCTACTCAACCCCTCCTCATAAGACAGTCCCTCCATATTGGTATCAGCCTAGTGAACCTTCTCTGGACTCCCTCCAATGCCAGCATATCTTTCCAAAGTAAGTTCAAAGCTGTTCACAGTTTTCCAATTGTGGTCTGACTAGTTGTGGTTAGCAGCACCTCCTGTATTTTCCTACTCCATTCCCTTTGAAATAAAGTCCAATATTTCATTTGCTGTCTCAATTATCTGCTGAACTTGTATGTGAATAAATCCCACTGTGTTGTAGCTTTCTGCGGTCTTTTTCCCATTAAATAATATTCAGCTCTTCTATTCTTCCTGCTAAGTGCATAACATTACATTTTCTACATTATATTCCATCTGCCTGAGGTTTTTAACCTCACCACTTGCCTTCCCATCTGTTCTTGTTTTATCGACAAACTTGTGTATTCACTTCTTAATAGGCCTGGTTTAGTCAATTTCTTATCAGAGAACAACTTTACCATACAAGTAACTGTCTTGTGACTTTTGCTGTATCTCCTGCTGGCCACCTAACCACAGTAACTATATTGTTCCTTTGATATGGTGACTGATGTTCTGTGCAGTACTCCAAGTGCGGTGTCATCTCAGCCCTGTACATTTGTATGAAGACTATTTTACTCCCATGGCTTTCCTAATTGTTGTACTTGTATGCTAATTTCTTCTTCCTTTTATGAATGCACCTAAGTCTCTTTGAAAATCGCCAGAGGGATGGAGTTTAAAAACAGGGAGGCTATGCTGCAGCTGTATAGGGT